ACAGGTCAGAGATGACCTGTCTATAGCTCCCAAATAGTAGGCAAGGGCTGGGCTCTTGATTTTAGACCTCCAGTATAGAATAATGATTTCATTCCCTTATTTTATAAATGTGTTGGCTTATATGTATTATTTTAAATTGTAAACCAAATATCATTTTCTGGAATATGTCAAATTAGATTTTGATGCCTATTCCTTTTTATAAATTGCTAAACTTGGTCTCCTCATGCTTAGGGTTTTGAACCTATGTTCATAAGGAAGATTGGTCTGGAATTTTCTTATGTTCTTGACATGTTTAACATCAAGGTTATACAGAACTCATAAAAGAAGTTGTCAGGTATTAACTTCTTTTTCCAATTTTTAGTTTGTGTATGAATGCCATTATTTATTCCTATACTGGCTGCATGTGCTTCTTGTGAAATCTTCTAGCATTTTCTTTCTTTTTGCTGCAGTGTTGAGTTCTTTTTCAAAGGTTTTACATAAAAGACTCAAATTCTTCAAGATCGGCATACTTAGGTTTTCTATTTCTTCTTGCATCTTTTTGTCTACTTATCCAAAATTTCAAATTTTTCATAAAATTTTAATATTTGTAGGATCTGCAGTAATGTCTTATTTTTGTTTCTCAATACACGCATGATTTCTCTTATTTTTTCTTTATCAAGCTTGCTCAAAGTGTATTAATTTGCCTTTTTAAAAAGATTTATTTGGTACAGGGTCATGCTACACAGTTTAGACTCATACTGATCTTCCTGTCTCAGCCTCCCCAGTGCTAGGAGTACTGGTGTGTGCCACCACGCCTGTTTTCGGGGCTGGAATGGTATGTGGTACTGGGGATTAAACTTGGGTCCTTGGGCTTGTCAATTTGTCTTTTAAAATGCCAACTCTGGGCTTTTTTGATTCTCCATATTGTGGCATCTTTTGTTTCTCATTATACTTCTACTATTATTAGTTCTTTTTATTCTTTGGGTCTTGTTATTCTTTTTCTAATTTCCTAAGATGACTTTGTTCATTGGTCTTTGGTCTTTTTCTTCTCTAATCCATGCATTTAAATTTGAAAACAAGACCTAATATTTTGTATTTTTATCATCATTAACTTCAAAAAATATTCTAATTTCCATTGTGGCCTCTTCTTTTATCTCAGATTATTAAAATTATATTTCTTAATCTTAATTAGTTAATTTATTGTCTTGATGCAAGGTTTTGCTATACACTTGAAGCTGGTCTTGAACTATGTACCCCAGGCTGGCCTAGAACTCTTGACAATCCTCCTGTCTAAGCTTTCTGAGTGCTGGAGTTACAGGCATGCACTATCATGTCCTGTCTCTTAATTTTATTTTATTTATTTATATTTTTTAATTAAAATTATTTTTAATTTTCTTTAAC